CTCTTACAATACGGATGTTTTCCCTACACTGCAATCTCAGCCCTCAGGGATGCGTCCCCGCCTTGAGAAATAAGATTCATTCAGAGGATGTGGTTGTTTTCTTTCTCCCTGAGGATTCAGGGTAGAAGGAAATGGGCTTTGCAAGAATTTTAGTGAAGATAAAGCCAACTCATTATCCATGAAAAATATGCAGAGCACAGGATTTGAAGTCAGATAGTCCTGAGTTTATGTGCTATGTAGCCTTAAGGGAATTATTCAGTCTTTCTAAAAATCAAGTTTTCTTTCTATAAACCTGGGATAAAAACACTTATATTACAGTGTTTAATTACATACTGATTAAATTATATATATGAAGATATATACATGTATGTATAGCCCTTAGCAGAGTATAGCAGACCAACATATGGGTTTACAAGATGTATATATTCATATATATAAATTATATATATGAATGCATATTCATATATATGTAGATGCCATATATAAACCCATAGTGTTGGTCTGTTATACTCTGCTAAGGGCTATATATATATATCTCTTCATATATATGTATATACATATATATTCATGTATTCATATGTATGAAGCACTATATATGTATATATCCCTATGTATTCATGTATATAGCTTATATATATATGAATATATATGATATGGATATACATGGAGGAATTTTATATATATATATGAATCCCTTAGCATAGCGTAAGAGCCTAACACTGCAGGTTTAAGAGATGTAGTTCAGTAAACGGTAGTTCTTATGAACATTCATATACACGCACACAGAGGAATTTAAACGACTTATGTACACAGTCTGAATGCTGATACAACATCCACAAATTTAAGGAGAAATGGGATCGCTGAAACCACTCATGAGTTGGCATAGCTGATGCATCATATGTTTGCTCTAATTGCAATATGGCTAGATAGCAATTTAAAAGATTCAACAATTGTTTAACATTTGAGAAGCCAAGTTGATTTGAGGCTGTTTTTAGAAACAGAATATGCTAATGCATGGTAAAACTTCGAGAGTCGTATTCCAACCAAGCCACCAACATTTCAGTCGCCTTTCAAAGACGCACCTCCTGATGGCATGGTTCTAGATGTGTCAATGGCAAGTGAGATTAAAAACAAATCACATGTTCTTCCTACTCACAACTAGCTTTCAGTCTGGTGATAGAAACAGGTGTGTGAGCAATGAATTATATTAGCAGACAAACAGCAGCCTAAATAACATGCTCAGGCTACACCAGTCGAGTGTAATGTGCCGAGCCTGGGGTGCCCAGTGTGACCCACGACAAGGGCACTAGCACCAATGGGAGAAGCTCCACCACCATTTAATGAAGACAAGTCCTGCCTTGCTGGCATATGATAAGCTTTAGTCTTGCTCCAAAACGACAGCAGCGGCAGTAACAACAACCTGTAACACAGCAGAGCGCTCCGTTCACCCCTCCATGTGCCGGATGCTGAGGGGAGTAGTGAGATGGGAGTGTGAGCCCCACCCGCATGAACCTACGCTGACCAACCTGGAGATGAGGCTCCATCAGGGCGTCAGGTTTAGGCTGGGGCAGGAGGCCAGACTTTCCTGAGAATGTAATATTCAAACGGAGACCAGGAGGAGAGTAGAATAGTTTATGTGAAAGTGGTGATTTGGGGAAGAGCTTTGAGCCTTGAGCTGTGGGTGGAAGGCCCATGAGGCTAGAATAAGGCAAGAAAGGGGCAGAGTATTGGGGGAGAAGGCTGGAAAGGCCAGGGCCGGCCAGGCAGAACCCAGTGGCTGGGCACCTGCTGACCATGTGCCATGGGAGGTCATTGGAGGGCTTTAAGAAGGGGGAAAGACATCATCTTACTAATGTTTTTAAAAGTTTTTTATGCTTCCTCAACATATCAAACGTGGAATTACCATGTGATCCAGCAGTTCTACTCCTGGGTATATACCAAAAAGAATTAAAAGTAGGGACTCAAACATATTTATACCCTAGTGTTCATAACAGTGTTATTCACAATAGCCAAAAGGTGGAAGCGAAGCCACCCAGGTGTCCACTGATGGAGAATGGATAGGTGAGGTGTGGTCTGTCCACACAGTGGAATCTTATTCAGCCTTAAAAAGGGAAGGAAATTCCGGCACGTGCTACAGCGTGGATGAACCTTGAAGACAACAGGCTGAGTGAAATAAGCCCGACATAAAAGGCCAAACCCTGTGTGATGGCACTCCCATGAGCTCCCTAGAATAGCCCAGCTCAAGGAGACAGAGAGTAGAAAGGTGGTTGCCAGGGGCTGGGGGAGATGGGAGAATGGGGAGTTACGTTTCCTGGGGATAGAGTTTCAGTTTGGGAAGAAGTAAAAGTTTTGGAGGTAGATGGTGGCAATGGTTGCATAACAATTTCAATGTACTTAATGCCATTAAACTGCACCCTTAAATATGGTTCAAGTGGACCAGGTGTGGTGGCTCATGCCTGTAATCCCAGCACTTTGGGAGACTGAGGTGGGTGGATCACTTGAGGTCAGGAGTTTGAGACCAGCCTGACCTACATGGCGAAACCCCGTCTCCACTAAAAAACAAAAGTACAAAAATTAACCAGGTGTGGTGGCATGTGCCCATAATCCCAGCTACTCAGGAGGCTGAGACAGGAGCCTCGCTTGAACCCAGGAGGTGGAGGTTGCAGTGAGCTGAGACTATGCCACTGCCCTCTAGCCTAGGTGATAGAGCAAGACTCCGTCTCAAAACAAACACAAACAAACAAAAACCTCTATCTATATCTATAAATATGGTTAAAGTGGTAAATTTTACGGGCTCCTCCCAGCTCTTGCAGTATCCCCAGGAGGAGCCCAGGATGGCTGGGGCAGGATGGAGCAGCAGAGATGAAAGGAGGGGAGGGGTTCTCCACTCACAGGTGAGGTAAGCTGTGCTGGGCGGGGTGACAAACCAGATGGGAGGATGTGGTGAGACAGGTGGAGAGCCAGGTGCCAGGGATAGCTGCTTCCTGTTCTGGCACCAGCAATGAGAAAATAAAAACACTACTGAGTGTGGCAGCAATCGCTGGGGTAGGGACGCATTTGGTGGTGCAGGGAGGTGGGGCGGTGGGAGTTCAAGCGTTCAGAATGGACACACACCACCTTTGAGGTGACTACGAAAGACCCAAGGGCGGGCATTAAATAGGGGGCTTGGATACACAGGTCTGGAGCTCATCAGGACGTGCCAGGAAGGAAATGGGAGATGACAGAGTGGAAATGTCATGGAAACCACAGGGAGAGAGGGGACTGCTCAGGCAGAGAGTGTAGGGCAGTAGGAAAAAATGCAGGCCAGGAGGTGCGACAGGCCTACACCAAGCCTGACTGGTCAGCCTTGAATCCCAGCAAATTAGCCTTCTTTTCTCTTTAACCAGAGACGAGCACTTGGATGAGAGTTGCCAGTGGCTAGATATTTAAAATGCAAGTGAAATAAACTGGGCACAGAGAGACAAACAATGCATGATTTCACTTTCATGTGGAATTTAAAACAATTTTTTGTTTTAATTTTTTTTGAGACCGAGTTTTACTCTGTCACCCAAACTGGAGTGCAGTGGCGCAACCTCCGTCTCCCGGGTTCAAAATTCTCCCGCCTCAGCCTCCCAAGTAGCTGAGATTACAGGTGCCCACCACCATGCCTGGCTAATTGTTTTTTCTGTATTTTTAGTAGAGATGCGGCTTCACTGTTTAAAACAATTTGAATTCATAGAAGTAGAGGGTAGAATGGTGACTACCAGAGGCTGGGAAGAGGGAGGAATGGGGAATATTGGTCAAAGAATACAATGTTTCAGCTAGACAGGAAAAATAGCTTTTGAGATCTGGTGCACAGCAGAGTGACTATAGTCAATGATGCATATTTCAAAATAACTAAGTTATATTTAACAAAATAACTAAATGTATCATCACAGAAAATGTCAAGCAAGTGAGGTGAGGGATTTGTTCATTAGCTTGATTTCATCACCCCACAATGTGTACCTGTATCAAATATCACATTAGATGCCATAAATGTCATGCAATTATGATCTGTCCATTAAAAGTAATATAAAAAATTCATGGGAATGAAGTACACAGGGCAGCCTGCTAGTCCCACAGACCTCTGGTTCTCCAAGCTGCAAAATGCAGATGACTGGCTACCTCGGTGGCAGGAGACAGGGTCAGGTTGGAACCTAAGTAGGCGCTGAGTATCAGATCTTACTATACTAACTCTATCAAACCCTCTGTGCTTGGAGAAGCCCAGCACGAGAGAGAGCGAGACATAAAGGAAAAACAGTGATGGCCAAGAGGGAGAGGAGGTATGGATGGAGCAGCAAGGCCCACAGTCCACCTGAAATACGAAGGCTCTGTGTCTGTATGCCGTCTGTTTGTGTTTGCATGGCAACCCTCCTTTTCCTTCAATTAGTCTGACAGAGACTCTGCTGATCGCAGGCAAGAGAGTGAAGAAACGCCCACACAGCAAGCCTTCTCATCTTCAGGCAAGAGGCGATGCCAGTCTCCTGTTATAATGGTCATGAAAATGTCAGTTACTGTATCATGTACGTATGTTGAAGGAGAAATTCCTTCTTGCTTCTCTCCTGGTCTCTCTCTTTTTTAATTGCAAGAGACTCCTTTTGGGGCTTAGAATTAGTTTGCATTTTCTGGACATGCTCTAGCTGGCCCCAAAGTGGGTAGTGGAGAGGAGCTGGCTGTAGAATAATCGAGATTTTCCTCAATATGTAAGAACTTCCCTAGCCCGGGCGCAGTGGCTCATGCCTGGAATCCCAGCACTTTGGGAGGCCGAGGCGGGCGGATCACTGAAGGTCAGGAGTTGGAGACCAGCCTGACCAATATGGTAAAACCTCAACTTTACTAAAAATACAAAAATTAGCCAGGTGTGGTAGCAGATGCCTGTAATCTCAGCTACCCGGGAGGCTGAGGCAGGAGAATTGCTTGAACCTGGAAGGCAGAAGTTGCAGTGAGCCAAGATCATGATTCTGTACTCCAGCCTGGTCGACTGAGCAAGACTCAAAAAAAAAAAAAAAAAAAAAACTTCTCAAGAGTAAATGCTAATAAATTTTGTATTTCAACTGGAGACAGTTTACCAGCCACACACTTGAATTAGGATGGGGTTACCATAATCTATGCTGCCACAAGTGAGAAGTGGATGTCTGCTGGGGGCTGTCAGAAAAATAGATGGGGAAAGAGCTCAGCTGCAGGTACCAGCAAGCCTTGAGATATTGTGGATTGTGGGCAGGCTTTCCAGGCCTAGGAATTTAGACCAGGTTTTGAAGCTTGGCATCACCACAGCCTGAAGGGCAAAGGAGAAGGACTTAGGCCCCAAATCCAAAAGAATGGAGTAGGAAGAGGAGGCCAGGTGGAGGTGGAGGGGTGGACAGGGGCTCTGCATGTCTCTGGAACCAGGTTCAAGGCACCCAGAGTTTTGTGATGGAGTGCCAGGTGCAGGAGGGACGTGGTAGATCCAGAGGTACTGCATCCTGAGAGCCTCCTGCCTCCTGGGGCAGAGACACAAGGTGGGGAGGCTGATGGTCCTGATGTGGCCCCAGGCCTTCTGTGGCAGAGGATTCTGCTCTGCTTCCTGCCTGGCGCTGCATCTGAGGCCAGGATGTAGGCAGGCTCAACGCAGGGGGAGGACATGTGTGTATGCATATGCGTGTATGCCTGAGTGTGCACATTTGTTCACATGCATGCACACATCTGCCTGCATATTTGTGTATGTGTGTGTGCAGTGTGTGTGTGTGCACATGTGGGTGTTGCTTCCAATAATATCCCCCTGTCTGGCCTTCCTACTGCACACAGCCACATCTGGAGGCAGGCAGCTGAGCCAGGTGAACTGTCGATAAGCATCTGGCTTTCTAACGGTGTGATTTGGTGACTCTGCAGAGAGCACTTTGTGGCAAAGTATGACACGGGATCTTTTTCAGCCGTGGACTTGCCCGCAGTCTTCTGCAGCCATGTCTTCTGGGCCAGACTTGTAGGGAATTGCCCCTCCCTATTCCTGCCCAGCCTGGTTCCATCTGGCTGCTGTCAGGCTCCAGGCTGCTGGGTGGAGGAGAGCTGCAGTGGCAGAGTTTGCTCATCTGGATGCTTAATAAGCAGGGACCTTCCCTATGCCAAAGCAAAGCCTGCAAGAGAGGATTCTCACAGGTTGTGGGCAAGAGCAATATCGGCTTTGCCATCCCCAATCTCATCGTGACCTGCTGAGTAGTGGAAGGGGAGCCCCTGGCAGAAGCTGTGACTTCCTCTTCACTGGAAAGATGTGGACTTTTCCTCCTAGTTATGAAACAGCCACGGGGCATGTCACACATCGAGGGAGGTCTAAGAAAAGGAAACTGCCACCCATGTTTGACTGTGATGACACTGGTAGAAATGGAATCCCGGGAGCAAGGATAGAGACTGCCTTCTCCCTCCCCTTGCCTTTGTTTCCATGTGCTTGTTCCCATTGGGAGTGGGAGGATGAGTTTAGAGAGTTTTGAGATGATGCCTTCATTTAAGTGAAGCAGAGCTTGGCCAAATCTAAAGTCAAGCTCCATAGATGGAGCCTTGCTAGAGAGCTGCCTCTGAGAAGCTAGGATTGCTTATAAGAACCAGGGAGGAGGAAAGAAAGTGGGAAGGAGGTAGGCAGGGATGCAGGCTGCCCATGGAGCAAGGTGGAGAACCTGTCACAGGGCACTCGGCCTTTTACAAGGGTTTTTTGGGGAAGGAACTATATCAGAGGCTGTTACTTGCTTCCTCAATATCCATTTTCCCCTCTGTTGCTATCACAGGAAGGTGAACACATGCCCAGCTAAAAGCCTATATTTCAGTGTCCCTTGCTGGAAGTGTGGCCAAGGAGATGTAAGTGGAAGTCACTGAACGGGATTCTGGGAAGGTTTTGTGAAGGGGGCTGGACTAGCTGGGAAAAGTGACCTTTTGTACCTCTGTCTCCTTCTTTTTCCTGTCTGCAAAGAAGTGGGATGACTGGAGCTCCAGCAGCCATCTTGTGCCTATGAGGTGAATTCTAGAGAACAAAATCCCACAGCCGAAGGTGGTAGAGGAGAATGATATAAGGTACTTGGTTCCCTCTGACAATGTGGAGCCCTCCTATGCTCCCTGGTCATCTCTCCTCAGACCATGCCATGTGAAAGAAAGCCATCCCATAATGTGATTAAGCCACGCTTACTCTGGGTCTCTGCTTATAGCAGACAAAAGTCATTTCTAGATAATTCAGGAGACTAGGCAATTCAGACTAGCCTGCTTGCAAGACAAGCTTTCTTAGTCAAGCCTAGGTCTTCACATAGAACTGTTATTCAGGGAATTAGACTGAGAAAAAAGGCAAAGAAGAATCTAGATGAAAGAGTATATTGTGGTGAAAGTTAAACAGTCAAAAATAAACAGCAGTGTCGTTAACAAAATGCCCTTCTTCAATGTGCTCAAACACTTCGGAGTCCTGTTTTCTCAGAATCAGGGGATTGAAAATGACCTTAAATATCATTTAATTTGTTTAGTTCCACTCCGTTTTTTTCTTTTCTCTTTTCCCCTTTTCTCACCCACAGAAAGTCAGTGTCCTTCTGTTTGTGCCTGCTGGCCTTTTGCTGCCCATATCTGAGCAAAGTTGCTCCATATGACCCTGTGAGATTGGCAGATCACAAGACTTGTCCCAAGTCATTCAGTATCAGATCCCATAAGTAGCGACTCTTCTTTTGCTGATGCCAGTCCATCTATTTGTCTATCTCTCCATCCATCTGTCTACTTATCCATCCATCCGTCTATCCATCCATCCATCCTTCCATCCATCCATCCATCCATCCATCTTCATCCATCCATCCATTCATCTATCCACTTATCCATCCATCTGTTCATCCATCCATCCATCCATCCATCCATCCATCCATCCATCTTCAGCCATCCATCTTAATCCATCCATCCATTCATCTATCTACTTATCCATCCATCTGTTCATCCATCCATTCATCCATCCATGCATCCATCCATCCATCCATCCATCTATCCATCCATCCATCCATCCATGCATCTATCCATCCATCCATCCATCCATTTGTCCATCTGCCCATCCATCCATCTATCTTCTCTCTCTCTCAATTGTCTATTTATTGGTTGTTTCAGGCACTGCGGCTACACAATTTAAATACATAATCTTCACAACAACCCTACGAGTCTTGTTATCTCCATTCCACAAATTAAGAAACGAGGCTAAAGATAAAGTAATTTGCCTAAGGTCAAAGAGCTAAATGCAGGATAAGGTTTGGAAGTGTCTGTGTCGTTCCAAAGAACCCAACACACTGAACCACTTGGCTAGGCTGGCTTATCGTGGGTTATACTTCCACATGACAAGCAAATAGAGAATTCATTCCGGCCAACACACACTGATTGCACAAACATATAACAGATCTTATAAAAATATTTTTTTGATGGTCTTCCAGGTAAAGACTTTGTGTACGGCCTATCATGATTTACTCTGGCTTCAAAAACTTACTTTAAAAGCCCAGGAAAAAAAGGTGTGATGTTAAAAGTCTTTGGGTCAGTTGGGTAAGAGGACATCATCAGAGTGGCAAATCCTAATGAAATGGAAGCTCTATGGCCAATAGAAATGGACCCTTCTTAGATTGTGGCTTATTGTAGCAATTCAAATATATTCACTTTTCAAATCATGTCTTTTCCAGGTATTATAGCCACATAGGGGAAAACCAGGTTAGCCCCTGTCTTAGAGGACGGTCCTTTTCTGGATCCCCAGGTTATAAATTTGTCCTACCACCTAGGTTAGTGTATACTCTTGACCCTTCAAAGGATGTGGTATTTTGGTGTTGACCTTCAAATCAACCCCAACGTTCCATAGTATGTAGTCATTTTAATTTTTCAGAGGTACAAGTTCAAGGGATATCTGAGATGAGATATTTAGCTAGTGAGGAGGCAAGGGGGTTAGCAAACCTTGTAAAGCTCTTCAGGTGATGAAACATTGTTAAAAGTATAGATAGCAATTTGGCAAGAGACAAAAACGTAATGGAATTTGAAAAGACCATTGCCTTGTGGGATGGGGATATTTGTAGGAACAGCTACTCAGTGGGCAAGGACTGCTGGGGAAAGCCAGGAACCTGTAGAATCATTAGGATCCAGTCATTTGGAGCTCCCTCCAGGTCTGGGAAGACATTCTTTCCCAGTTCCCAAGGGCCATTGCGCTCTGATTTGGAAAAAAAAATTAGGATGAGTATAAAAGTGATAAAACTTGCTCATCAAAGTGACATTTTAGACATATCTAAATATTACCACATACCGTGTTATACTGTATTAATTTCCCACCATTTTTTGTTCCTTGGAATAAGGCAACATATAAATACTCTATATTATGGTATGGTTTTGTTTTGAGACAGGGTCTCGCTGTCACCCAGGCTGGAACGCAGTGGTGTAATCATGGCTCACTGCAGCCTTGACTTCCTGGGCTCAAGTGATCTTCCCATCTCAGCTTTCCAAGTTGCTGGGACTACAGGCATGCACCACCATGCCCAGCTAAGTTTTAAATTTTTTTTGTAGAGACAAGATCTTGCTATGTTGCCCAGGCTTGTTTCCAACTCCTGGCCTCAAGTGATCCTCCCCCCTCAGCCTCCCAAGGCATAAGTTACTAGTGTGAGCTGCTGCGCCAGCCTATATTATATATTTTTGCTGCTTCTATTGGGGAAGAATGTGGTGTTTTATCTGAGAGAGGTGACAGGAACCTCGGCCAGAGGCCACCCCCAGAAATTCAGTGTCCTACTGGTGCCTGCTTGCCCTTTTGCTACCCGTATCAGAGCAGAGTTGCTCATTTGCTTCTCTGGGCACATCTTGTATGGAGCCTCAGGCCCCAGACAGCAGGACTGCAAATTACACAGTGAGCTGCAGGCAGCAGTGCTCTGTGAATGACACTCAAACCCAGAGAGAAACGGGAGCCTCGAACTGCATCTGAAAATCAGTGAGAAAGAACCAAAGTCCTGTGAAATGGTGCAGCCATCCCTTCAGTGATGACTCATTCTGCTCAAACCTGTCACCACTCACACGGCAGTGGTCGTTGGAATAAGGGACTTCTCAGGTAAATGACAAAGAACCACGGATTTGGATTTGCCCAGGTGTCTGGAGAGGAGGCTGCCCCTGAATGCCTCACCCCACTGTGCAGAAAGGGGGTGCCTGGGGCATTGTCACCGCAAGTCTGCACCTACCATCCTCCGGCCCCTTTCTGCCACCTCTGTAGCCTCTCCAGTTAAATTTAAAAAAGTAAAAGTGGGAACATCACACACCAGGGCCTATTGTGGGTAGGGGGGAGTGGGGAGGGATAGCATTAGGAGATATACCTCATGTAAATGACGAGTTGATGGGTGCAGCACACCAACATGGCACACGTATACATATGTAACAAACCTGCACATTGTGCACATGTACCCTAGAACTTAAAGTATAATTAAAAAAAAAAAAAAAAAAAAAAAAAAAAAAACAGTGGGGACAAGAATGATCTGCCTGCCTGTGTTTGGCCCTCCTTCCAAGTTTTTGTGTTCTGTTTGAAATCAAACTTATGTTTTCTTCCAAAACGAATGACAGAGAGAGAAAAAAGGAAAAGCCACCCAGGCTTGCAAAGTGGTAGCTTCTTGCCGCCGACTTCCTGCCGGTGCCAAGTCAGAGGGAGCTCCGTGTGTCCTCAGTTCACCCTCGCCAGGCCACGCTGCATGCAAATAAGAAGCTGTTCCAGTGTCTGCCCATCTGAGACGCTGACATAAAAAAGGAAGAAAGAAAGGAAAAAAACCACCGTCACCACCAACAAAAAAACCCAAGACTGATTAATTCTCGTAGATTGCAGCAGAGCAGTGGGCTTGGTGGTGACACATCCTGTTTTGCTGTTTCAGTTATCATCCCCCGAGCCAATAAGCTCCCTCATGAACGGCACCAGTGATGAGGGGTAACAAAGAATTCAAAACACTTACAGGACAATTTTCCTAACCCTTGGTCTCTCGGAATGCTATTTTTTAGGCTAATTTGTTTTGATGAGAAAACTATGCCTGCTAGGCCTATTTTTAAGCCAGATCTGAAGTCAACGCAGTTGGTATTTGATCTTGCAAGAACTACAGAGGTGTCAGCAGCACCTTTGCCATTTAAGAGCTGTAGCCTGGTGGGACACCATGCTGCAACCAGGGCCCCAGCACAAGAAGTTTCTCTGTTGTTATTCGCTTCTCTTCTTTGATATCCGTATTTGAGTTGAAATATCACCACTTGAGCAGCACCTGGTGATTATGTAAGCATTCAACTCTGTGTTTTATCTGAGGGCTAGGTAAGAAATTAAAAATCCAGCCAGAAATAATTAGTTTAGCTGCAGACAGGTTATATTACACAGACTCAATTTAATAGAGCTAGAACCATAAGATGAATGTATTTATCTTCAATCAAAGATGACGTGTTGGACAGATTCTTTCATTTATCACTTTTCTGTTATGTTTAGCCCTAAAGACAGTCTTTTTTAGATACGTAAGATGCACTTTCAGGGTTAAATCATCTAGTCCATTCTGAATAAAACATCAAAAGCACCTACAAATCCCAAACTCCTTCAAGAACTTCTCAGGCAGTCTTCAGGTGAGATTGGTAAGACTGTTAATTGACGTAATGAAAGAAAGTATTATCACATCTATTTATTTTTCTCTTTTTCTTTTAACTCTTTTTTGTGTATGTTCTAAAATATACGTAATTTTCAGTTCAGAAGGGCATTTTCAACTTGTAAGTAAATATGAATATATTTTCGAGTGAGCTCAAATTTTTATTTTATATTTAGGTAGGCATTTTTTTTTTTTAGATGGAGTCTCACTTTGTCACCCTGGCTAGAGTACAGTGGCTTGATCTTGGCTCACTGCAACCTTCGCCTCCTGGGTTCGAGCGATTCTCCTGCCTCAGCCCCTGAGTAGCTGGGATTACAGGCACCCACCACCACACCTGGCTAATTTTTGAATTTTTAGTAGATCTGGGGTTTCACCATATTGGTCAGACTGGCCTCGAGCCCCTGACCTCAGGTGATCCGCCCACCTCGGCTTCCCGAAGTGCTGGGATTACAGGCGTGAGCCAACGAGGTAGGCAAAAATTACAAAACAAAAACAAAACAACAACACAAAAAACATTTGGAATAGTCTGTAACAGAGGAGGGCTTGAAGAGAAGTGAGGTGACTTGCAGAAGCATCAGCCAGGAGGCATTCCTCCAGGACAAAAATGTTTACTTCAAGGAGAGAGCTTAGTGATGGAGAAGGAAGACTTCGACAGATTTTCAAGATTAGAATCATAAACTGGCCATTGATTGGGTGTGGCTCCTGGAAGTGAAGGTGCTGCGGGCAGGGGCTGGCTTGGGCAATGAGAAAATAGTGTTGCTTTTGTGCCCGCTCTGTCCCGGGACTCA